AGTTAGATGTATTAATGAAGAGAGATATATTGAGTAGATGCATGTATAGGAAACCTAAACACTCAGATTTCCTTATTAATTTCTTATATTATCGTACTAATAGTGTTAAGGTAGGCGTTATGAAATTAATGATAATAAGGAGTCTGTATATAGCAGAAGTGGGATGACCTCGTTGTCGCAACTTGGTATTGCTGTCAAGAGGACTTAGCAACGCACCTAGTCCGAAGTCGTCTGCCATAGTAGTTGTCATGATTCCCAGCATCAGACAGTGGACTTGGTGCATTATAAAACTTTTCGCCGGCATCTACACCTAGTCCGAAGTCGTCTGCCATAGTAGTTGTCATGATTCCCAGCATCAGACAGTGGACTTGGTACATTATCAAACGTTTCGCCTGCATCATAGTCGGCATCATCAGTGAGCTTTGCCATTTTCCGCACCAAACTACGAACTCGTCAGAGAAAAGTGAAGTCAATCAATCGACAAACGTTCTGCTGAAAACGGCTGCACTATCATTCCTGGCCTATCTATCTACTCTTTACCCTCTCATCCCACTGCCGCTTTATCACAACTTTTGACTTGTTTACATTCCACTCGTCAAAATATGTGCTCTTTTGTGGCAAATATAATGTGGCCTCATCACACTTGTTATTCACCCCGACCTCCTCTCTTTCGATTGGCTAATCCGACTCAGGCCACCAATCCGGATCTCTCTCATGGTCTCGTAGATCCATTTCTCATCTTTCTGGTTGACCGATCTCACTCGGTTCCGGTCCCAGTGTGCGTTTTACTCCAGGCGATATTTCTCAAGGCCATAGAAGCACGTACACTGCCGCCAAACCGAGCAGAGCGCCTAGGCTCTAAATGCCATGATTGCAGATCTCATTCATTGCCTTCATGGGTCGTCTCCTTGATTAAACCCATGTTACCTGAGTAATCTGTGGACGCCTATCTCTGTTCGCATTCTGAATCTCAAGTGGATTTCTAGTACATTTTGGCCAAAACGTCGAATTTCTGTGATGGTTTGCTTATCTGTCCACCTAGCTCCCTGACTGCCAGGCCCCCATAGTTATATTGGTTTATTCGAAAAGGACATCACGCACTGACATCTTCGCTTGATGCCGAAAACCCCAGCCTTCAACTTTCCTTATCGCGATCCCTTTTCCTCCTCCTTGATCCAGGCGTCTCCTTTTGCTGGTCTTGCTCTATTTTTGTTTTCCCCGAGTTTGCCTAAGTAGTAGGCAAGTTATTCCTAACTCTATCTTCATCCAATCTCCTGTTAATTAGATTTTTCTCCCCAAGAATGTCAATGGCCTCCCTAATCTTCCGCTTCATTGCGTTGTCACCGTATGGGGCCCTTCTTTCCGTTTCCATCCAATTGATCTCGTATCCAGTCTGTGCGATGTGTTCCGCTAGTTCTGATCTTTCGGTATCCATTTTTCTGCAGAGCCTCTGATGTTACTTGATTAATGTGCTAATTTTTCTCCGTTTCGCCAATATATTTTGTTCGCAGGCGCCGCATGCTATTCAGTAAACTCCTGAACAATCCAATCGATCTACCCTTTCATGTTGCGTCGGTAAACTTATGAAAAGTGTTAATTTCTCTTTCATGGACACCTAAATATTCCATTTCCCCAATATTGGCCGTAGTTTTTGAGTTCATTCACAGGAAGGTAAACATAACCACTTTTGTGAATCCTTCATCGTCCTTACTGTTCTTTCATAGTCACCGTTCTGCCATCGGCTTTTCACGGCCCGTACGTTTCTTTGCATCACTTCGCTAGGGTAGCCACTGCCGAGGAATATCCCAGTCAATTTGTCCAGCTCCTCGTCCCACAATTCTACATCAGTTGG